CAAGTGTCTAGTTTCACTGTGCATTCGAGGATTAGGTGAATAGACTCTTATCTAAGGTATGCTCCTAAAACGGTTACACTGCAGAGATTAGGATTAGGTAGATGGGTTCTCACCTAAGATGTGCTCCTAAAGACTAGGAAATCTACACTGAGGCGAGGGTAAATGAACTCTCACCTAGGGTGTGCACTTAAGCTCTAGAAAGCCTACACTGAGGATTAGGTGGATTGGTTCTCACCTAAGGTGTGCACTTAAAGTCTAGAAGGTCTACGTTGAGGATTAGGTGGATGGGCTCTCACCTAGGGTGTGCACCTAAAGTCTAGGAGGTCTACATTGAGAATTAGGTGGATGGGCTCTCACCTAGGGTGTGTGCTCCTAAAACTCTAGGAAACCTACTCTTTAACTTATGCTAAGTTGGTATGAGAATTTCGTTCAACGAAAGATTATGCATAATGTACAGATGTACATAATGAAAAGTATGTCAATAGTCAAGTGTATTGAATATGTATGCTAATGCATTCACATATTTGACATTCAAGCTCAAATTCACTTTCCACATGAGACTTAACTTCAATAATCTTATAGAAACAACACCAAAATCAGCCCACCAACCGGCACCTACTGTGGCTCTAAAACAGTGCACAAAATCAGTCCAAACCGACACTTAAAGTGTTTCCAAAACAGTGCACAAAATCAGCCCAAACTGACACCTAAAGTGTCTCCAAAACAGTGCGCAAAATCAGCCCAAACCGGCACCTAAAGTGTCTCCAAAACAGTGCACAAAATCGGCCCAAATGACACCTAAAGTGACTCCAAAACAGTGCGCAAAACCCGTTTGAACCAGTCCCCAAAACATCATTTAATTACCCTCCAAACAGCTTCCTAGGAACCCAAACAACAATTTGAAAGATCAAACAACACTTTTATGGCCTGCTACAAACTCAAACAGCAATTATGTAACTCTTCAAAAAAGTACTTTTAAGCCTTTCAAAATAGTGACAACCTCTCCAACTATGTATAGTTC